GAACCCCCTGCAAGACCCGTTATACTATGTCCTCCCATGTCAATATTACCCGTCATTGTGAATCCGCTACTAATGAGAGAACTTCCACTAACATGATCAGTGACCCACTTTTTGGATACAGCAGAATTATCAGTAGTAGGAGAACCCAACTTTACTATTTCATTGTTACCCATGTCAAGGTCATCAGACAGTGTTAGATCGCTATAAGTATGACGTCTAATTCTACCACTATTAATGGCATTTACTACCCACCTCTTATTCACCGCAGACTGGGTGGTTGTGGGGTCCACCAACCCAAGTATTTCTTTACTGTCAAAAAGAACGTTACCAGTTATAAGACAGACACCTGTTAGCGGTAGGTAATTCAAGGACTCGACGGCAATCTGAAACTCCACAAACTTTTTGGACACAGCAGATGTATCAGCACTAGGAGAGCCAAAATTTTCAATTTCATTACCGCCCATTTTGAGAGCACCTGTCATTTCATTCAAACGGTCAAGTCTGGAGTAGTTTCTTAGGGTTCTAATCATCTGACATTGTCTTAGGAGTTCTGTTGACGAAACAGCATCCTTGTAAGATTTGGGGCACTCGGAAAAGGTAACACCTCCGTTAACTATCTGATTGGAACTGCTTGAGAGCCTCAGGAATGTGCCGCTGTTTGATTCGAACCATTCCTTGCTAACGGCAGATTTATCATCTGTAGGGTCAGCCACATTCTTAATCTCATGGTTCTGCATATCAATATCTCCGGCAATGTTAAGTCCAGTTACAGGTCTGTTTAACTTACCTTCTACCCAACCTCTAGTTGCAGCAGAATTCGCAGTGGTGGGGTTACCAACATTTTTAACTTCATGCCTTGCCATATTGAGGTCATCACCCACAGGCTTAAATCCGTTCAACCTCAGATAGTTATTCCAGGTGTATGTGTGCAGATACTGTACATTAGCGGCCTCACTAAAGTGTCCACCATCAGTCTTAACTCCGATTATCTTATTATTTCCCATGTTAATATCCGCAGTCATGGTAAACCCAGCAGGTTGAATTGTGCTGGCTGCCTGCCTAACTATCTCGTCATCTACCCATTTCTTAGTCACAGCTGATGTGTCGTCCGTGGGTGCACCCAGACCTTTTACCTCATTTCCATCCATCTCAATATCACCCTTCATGGCAAATCCGTTTTTATTAAACACGCTACCACCTGATGGGTCAACATTGTTTGCTCCTTTGACATATCCCTGATAGAGAGCCATTTTAATACCATACATGTTTACAAAACCACCTTCAGTAGAAGGAACACAACAACAGAACCGATTCCGATTCCTGTTAGAGTACTACTACCTGTTGCACCACCACGACTAACCGCTATGTTACGAATGGGTGTGTCTGTTTTAGGTGTATCTGTTTTTGGTTTCTCTTGACTTTTACATATCAATTAAGAGTATCAAGATGATTAACTGGTGTGGTATCCTGATGTTGCTTCTTTGGAGGATCAGATTTTTTAACACCTACGTAATTAAGCTTTGTGTTAACACCACGCTGCATATTAAAGGTAGCATTTACAAGCACATTGTTATATCCAATAATAGCTTTCTTTAGAATGATCAAACTAGATGGAACTAAAACTATTCCAGGTGTAATGGCAGTATTAAGTATAAATTAGTGTCTTCAATAGCCTTTCTCATATCCGACAACGTTACAACGGGATCCACCTGTACAACACAATCGTGAACTATATTACCGAACTTTACCTGGGTAGAAAATGATTTTCCCATCTCACCAACTATTGGAGTTCTTGTCGATGCTTGTGACCCCAGTACGGAATATGAGAACGCCTGCACTGACTCATTTAATAAAAGTAGCCCAGTTTCAGTAATTTTTGTAGGAACATCAAAGTGATCAACAGCGATGAACCTCCTGTAGTCAGACTTGCTTACCAAACTTGATGAAACCCTTTCTTCATAACTAATTTTTATCTTAATTAGGAACCCGTTGACTGAATTTATAGGGGATGCAACCACATTCCTAACCAGATTACCACCACTACCTCTCCCCCTAAGCCAACTTGCTCTTTCATACTCAAGTCCCTTATCGTAAGTAATCCTGTAAGTATCAGTTTTACTTTCCCACTTACCTACAATAGGAATGTGACTCTTCACAGGACCCAACTTACTTAAATAAGGTTTTATCCTTTCTGGTTTATACATAAATTTTCTAATAGTGTAGTAAACATGGAAATTCATCATACTGGTGATAACAGGATAGGTTTTGTAAGTAAAGGTCATATGATCGGTGGTAATCCCACTAAGATGCGTTGCAATGTAAGCCCCACAGAGTGCAGCAAAGTATGGCCTTTTTTGTCGAATTTTACGTCAATATCCTTTATGGTAATAGAGCTTTCTACACTTGGAAGAAAAGATCCACCTGCACCACCGGTGGTATTAAACGAATTTCTAGCATCAACATACACCATAAAATTGTTGACATCCTTAGGCCACCTTACCCCAGGAAATTAGCTGTACCCGTCAACTGTATCATCAGGATTAATCCCGTATCCGTTTCCCTTTCCAGACGACCACATAGCAGGCCATCTAACGTCAGTAGAAATGTGATGCTCCCTATGAACTCCGGATGTAAGATACTTGGTATACTCCTTATTTTTACCGAAACCTTCACCTGTAATATCCCTCGTCATGATTCCATTAGGGTCCTTGTATATAGTTGCAACGTAGAATCCCCCGGAAAGGGTAGGTCTTGCCTTGAAATCGAACATGCTCATATCTGCCTTAGGATGATCTTTCAAAAACGTATTACGAACTGTAGTTTCAGCTTCCCTTTCCGTAGTTTTTAGGTGAGGATCGAAAGCCCTAAGATAAGTGGTGTACTCTGAATCTTTCCTAAAGCCGTCATATCTTATGTCGTAGGATGTGATTCCGTCAAGATCTACAAACCATGTAACAACTTCTATATCACCACTACTGGTAGCCTTTGCTTCAAACTTAAATCTTCTCATATCTGTGACAGGATACTTTACCTTAAACCTAGCGCGCTCAGCGTCCTCAGATCCACACGATTTTCACTGTCATCTGTATCGGGATTCTTACCGTACTTTTTCTGCATTTCCTGGTAGGACATTAGCCTATTTCCTCCTGTTTGGTAATACATATTTAATAACCTAACGTATGTTATTAGAATGAAGTTCACCGTTTTACTAAATGGTCCGCACACTGTAGTACCACTGTACAATTCAGTACTAACAAGCAACTATGGTTCAGTCTTTGTGAAGAAAGTATCGGTCTTTTGGGAATATTTCAATATAGTGAAACAAACAACGTTAATTATTGTGAAGGCAGATGGTGGAGAATCGAATATAAACATTGAAAAAGGATACCACACATTTGCTAGTATTAAAGCTGTACTTGAAAGGCACGGTGTAATGCTAACATACTTTAGGGAAACAGCTAAGTGTCAGATAGAGACAACAAAATATGACATCACACTAGAAAAAACACCTACTTAACATGTTAGGATTCAACAGATATTCTACCCCAATGATTCTATTAAAGGGGAGAAGTTTAGCAGGTGATAGCAAAGTTGACATCAACAACGGCCTACGCTTTGTAAACATTCATTGCAACCTTGCAAGTAAGAGCTACAACACTAACCACTGGGGGAAGCCACGCGATGTGATAACAAGTATTACAATTCCAACAGACAGACCGCTACTGGGCTCAGTGGTTAGTTACATTGACATTGAAAGCAGAGTTTCAGTAGTTAAGGGTTCATGCTCAGAACTGTTTTTTATGTGAGAGATCAAGATGGGAAACCTGTTAGTATAGGTGAAGTGCTTATCGAGATGTACCTTGAGTAGACGCCTTACATTGGTTAATATATGATGGACGATGATATTATGAAAAACAGGGACTACGAGATATTTACTACAATCCTAAGACTGGATTTCAAACACCAGAGAAACTATATCTCAGAGCAATATCAGACGGACTTAAAGTGACCAGAAGCCAGGTTAAAAAATGGATAAACGAGTAGGACACATACACCAGGTACAGACAAGTGTTCAGGAGACACAAGTTCAGACAAACGTTCGTCCAAACTATTGGTGAGCAGTTACAAATGGATTTAGTTGACATGACAAAATACGACGACAAGAACAAGGGATACCGCTGGATTCTCACATCCATTGAAATACTGAGTAGGTATGCGTTCACAGTACCAGTGCACAGGAAAAACGCTATGACAATGAAGGACGCTGTCAGTAACTGTTTTGAGCAATTTAGGAAACACTTTGGGAAATACCCAAAGTTTGTTCAGTTTGATCAAGGCACAGAGTTCTACAACAAAGATGTAAAGTCATTGCTCAATAAACATAACATCGAGTTTTTCTCTACCTACTCAGATAAAAAGGCCGCAGTTGTGGAAAGGTTTAACAGAACACTGAAAGCACTAATGTGAAAGTACTTTTACAGTGCCAGCACATACAGATGGTTGGACGTCCTTCAAGAGGGTTCGACGTCCTACAACAGTTCAGTGAACAGGTCAATTAAAACAGCACCGGATAGTGTTAATGACTCCAATTGGACCGAAGTATGGAGGACACTTTTTAGTCACGACCTAGATAAGCCGTCAGAACCAAAGTTTGCTGTGGGAGAAAGTGTTAGAATTTTAAAGTGCAAATCAGTGTTCACAAAGGGGTACGAATCAAATTTTACAGAGGAGTTGTTCACTGTGACGGAAGTGTATCACGGGCATCCAAACACGTACACAATAAAAGACAGTGCCGGTGAACCAATAATTGGCAGATTCTATGAACAAGAACTGTATAGTGCTGAAGGAAGGGAACGAGATTTTAGGATAAAGAAAGTACTAAAAAGAAGAACAGTTAATGGTAGGAAGATGGCTCTCGTTAAATGGTTAGGTTATGATGACAAATTTAACAGTTGGATACCAACTGGAGACATTAAGTCCCTAACATAAGTTACAGTATTATGGAGGACGCAGAGGACTACGAGTTGGAAGAGGAACAAAAAACTTATCCTCAATATGATGACATGAACTACGACGATCTGGTTACAAACTTTGATGAACTAACAAGTATGTTACATAGGGAGGAAAAGTATAATTTAGATCCATTAGTAATCACCGACCTTAACAATGAACTCAGCTATGTGAAGAACCTCATGGAGGAACGTGGAACAGCAGAGACAACCTTTACCGAGGGGGAAGACGGTACAGTGAACATCTCAAGACCATCAGGAAGTACGGCCGTCCCAGGAGTCGACTTCGTGGAAGACCCTAACGATTTACTTCCAGACGTGCTAGATGCATTTGACGAATCATTTGACGCTAATTGGGACGACATAGAGGAACGTCTAAGTAAACTGAAAAAGTTCTCAACAGTTGAAAAGAAAAGAGACTTTGAAAACCAGGTAGAACGTGTACAAGCTGTCACAAGAGTTATCCAGACAAAGGATAAAGTAGTACTCAACCCCAGAAACAAAAATGTCAGGGAACTCATAAAGCGGTCATCAGTAAGGACTCTTCATGATGGCACAGAGGTGTTAGTGTTCAGAAGTGAAAAAGGTATTGACAAAGGTGGTATCCAGATAATGAAACGTGGTAAGACCAGCATACCTGTGTACTCCAAGAATTCCCCTGCATTGGGAGAATACAAGGATCTGGTGAGGAAAATTAAGAATGAACCCACCACAACAGCAGATCAAGGTGCAGAACTGAATGACACCATTGATGCTGACGATGGATTTGAAGACATTGAACTCATAGATGTGAGAATAGATAGAGACGACATCGCAGCTCTAACCCCTACAGAAAACAGGGAGCTCCGAGGTGTACTTAACCCCACAGACGCAATGGACTGGGAATCACGCATAGGAACCGATGGAGCGCTTCAGATACAGCTGAAATACTTTCAGGACACAATCGATAAAACAATGGAGTTGAGAGAGGAAACGGATGACCCAGAGAAGTTCATCAGATTGGAAGAAAGAATAGTCGCTCTTAGGGAAGCAAGGGATAGGACAGTCATGCAGAAAGAACTGGAGGAAGGTAGACAGGCCCAAGTTGAAGACATTTCCAGATTACGCAAATTTGTGAAATGGTTAGGAGAGGAAAAGGTGGGTCTCACAGGGATAGCAGTGTCAACAGCCAGTCTAATTACAGCCTTACTGATCCATGCCAGGGGAATACTTGTTGGAACGGCAAAAGCAACTGGTAAAGTAGCAAAGGCACTAGCTAACATGGCAAAGAAAGGTGCTCCAATTCTTGTTCCAATTCTGAACGCCATCGCAACAGCACTGTCATGGGGTGCCAAAGGTATTGCCTGGTTAGCGTCACACTTATGGGTACTAGCTGTAGCGGCTGCACTACTTGTGTATGACTACTTACAACGCTAAACATTACATACTATATACAAACATGAATACCACAGAAAGAGAACTCCAACCGGGCTTCAGAAGGAGCCGCATGAGTGCCATCAAAGGTCCTCGAACTAGAAGTGTTGTCACATTCAACCCAACAACTATTAGCCCCGGTGAAGAGTTGTACATCAATATTCCAAAACTCAAACCTTCTTCCTGCCTAGTTCCCGGTTCACTTGCCCGCCTCTTTGACTTCAAGAATTCCAACACAAAGAGCCGATTCAACAATAACCTTACCAAACTGTTAGCAAAACGTCTTCAAGTGAAAGTAGCCGGTGAGACTGCCTATGACTGTTAATGAGAGAGTCTATTCGAAGTGTACAAAGACCTATGGCTCACACTAGGAGACAGGGAAAAGATGACTGAACAAGGTCTTGCAAGTGAAAACCTACGCAAGTTAATTTCAGGTGATTACTCAGGTGCAAAGATTGGTGACACCGGTAAAGTAGCAGACGCACTTCTACACAGTGTATACGGCTCCAAGCTGAGGAAACCAATTGACAAGATAATTGCAGATCATGGGCTCTATGTACCGTTCTTTATGAATAACAACCCTATGTACATCCTTACCCTTCCACAAGCAGATGAGATTATGACTGCACAGGGAGGTGAACGGGTAGATGGATACAAACTCGACAATCTTGAGTTAGAATACGAGAGCGTTGAGAATGACACCCTTGCAAGTGAGGTCTCAAGTATGTATTCAACGGGTCGGTCACTGTCCTACAAACACGTCACACTAATGCGTACAAGTAACTGGAACAAGGATCTCACCATTGTCAATGAGAATATCAATATCTCCAGAAAGAGCATGTCAGCAATTGTCCTCCTATTCACCAATAGAGTGAGAACTGATTCTGAAGAGTACATTTACCCAAATATTGATAAAGTCAACGTAACCATTAAGGGTGTGCCAAATGCTGTCTTCTCCCAAGGGCTTCCCAGGAGCAGGTTCTTTGAAGAGGCAAAACGATTCTTCTGCCCTATGTGTTAGAAATCAATGGCTGACGAATTCATGTCCATCAGCAAGTTCTTCAGCAATGGTTTCGCTCTAGTGATCGATCTTAGGTCAAAACAGGATGACACCACTGGAGGAAGAAAGAAGATAGTTAACACACAGTCAGGTGTACTCCTGGAAATCAAAAAGAGAGCTACAACAGCTGACGTTCAATGCAACATCTTTGTTGTATCAGATGCTCTCCTTAACTTTGCCAACAGAGATCTCTCAAGTATTCAATACTAATGGTAACACATAGAGATGCAACCTCAACCACAATTCAATATGCTCATAGAGAGAACATTTCCAGGCTAGTTACATTCTACAACCCCAGTCGCAAAGATATGAAGGTGATAACAGATGATTACCTAAATGGTTTACCACAGGAGACAATCGCAGAAATCACAAAGATCCTGAGGGATGAAAAGTTCACCGCGCTGGATATACTACTTATTCACCCTTACACTTACAATCTTCATTAAACACCGCGTAACATATAGATGACCACCGTAATAAGTGACTCAGAATCCGACACCGAAATATTTGAAGCCGCACTTAGAGATATGGAAGAAGCCGTAAAACTGCAACCTAACAAGAAGCCCACAACAGGTAAGTCGCAAACTGAAAAGAAAAGGGAGAAACTCCTGGAGCTGTCAAAAGATGGCCTCATAGAAAAACACGCAAACTTCATAAGAAAGTCAAACAAAAGTGTTGTAGACAAATTGTATAATGAGTATGAAAACCAAAGGATGTCATGTGCAAGTGACTTTCTATCGACACTCATTATCTCCAAGTTTGCGTCAGTACTAGGAAGTCTCAATGCAGTGGAATCATCAGAGAAACTGTCAGAGGAACTGCTGAACGACAAGCTTTTGAAGGACGACGTGGCATACCTCACAAGAACGATATCCCCCAACATCCCATTCATAGGACTCATATCAGGGTGATGCACAACAGCCATGCATGTAGTCGCCCACTAGTGGAAGGGGGAGGATGTATCCGAAGAAACTAAACATATCCTATTAAATACAGATTGCCCCAAATCGGAGAACCGTACGAGTGGGGCAATCCTTGGGAAGAAACAGAATTCGAAGACATAATTAACGAACTGACCCAGAAAACTGATGAGAATAGGGAGAGACTTACTAAGTTGGAGACAACAGTAGAAGGCATTCAGTATGACCTCAAGTCTCCCATAAAAGAGACAATTAAGGTGGTGAATAATATTTACAAAAAAAATTCAGAAGTATAGGAAACACCTACTTAAAGACGTACCCATATATTTATCGTATAGAGAAACTGAAGATGACAGAAAAAACAATTTTCTCAACTAAGGGTATAGGAGGGATGGAAAAACTATTTGAGAACAAGAAATTAAATGTAGGCGTAAGAACTGTGAGGAGGGGTGAGGAGGTACTGTTCTACGCAAAAGATGTGTCGGAATCACTAGGATACAATAAACCTAGAAACGCTGTTAGAATCCATGTTTGGGAAGAGGACAAGTGTACCCTAGGTAGTCTACAAAGGGGCCCTTCAGCAGGGCCCCTTTACATGGGTCAACCAGAGACGGTTCTTATTACTGAACAGGGTCTGTATCAGTTAATATTCGGATCTGAACTTAAGCATGCAAAGAACTCCAGAAGGTGGGTTTTCAATGAGATACTTCCATCTATCCGTAAGACCGGGTGGTATGAGTTACCGAAATCAAAACTCCATTATAGCAAACAACTGAAGCTGCTCAATGAGACTGATCTACACTATGCAGTAGTTAGGTACATCAGAAGATACTACCCAAATGCACTCATTGTAGCGGGTCTAGGTGAATACCAGGATACTGTTCAACGTAGATGTGACGCCTATCGTAAGGGTTATATAGGAGGACAACCCGATCTCATAATAAAGAATCCAATGAATGGTTACATAGGATTTGCAATGGAACTTAAGACCCCTAAGGGTACAGGTGAGATTAGAAACAATCAGGTAGCCTGGTTAAACTTACAGCACAATGATATCTGATGACTACACAAACATAGTGCTAAGGATAGATGAGTACTTCAGAGTAGACCCATCAGTGAAATACAAGAAAGAAATAACAAACCTGAAAAGACAGTGTAATATACTTAAGCAGAAACTCAACGAAGCAACAGCATGCTATCGACCTAGGTTCACAGCACACAAATACTAAGCAGTTACCACAATAATGTAAAGACAAAATTAAAAGATGCTCGGCAGCATATGTTGGGCATTTTTTAAGCAATCCACTCAGACAGGCCAGCATCTTGTGAGCAAACTCAAGTTATCTTACAAGTAGATCCCAGTTATCTCACCAGTAGATTTAAGTTGTTTTGCAAGCAAATTTAAGTCACCTCACAAGTAGAACCCAAGATATGTCATAAGATGAAACCAAGTTAAACCTAAGTTATCTTACAAGTAGAATGGCAGATAAACCTGAGCAAACTCAAGTACCAGTAACAAGCGAAAAGAAGAAGGACCCTAGGAGAGTAGCTGCAGGGAAACGATTAGCGGCAATCAGTAAAATAGAAAAGGAAAGGAAAAGGAAACAGGCTGAACCTAATGAGTCACCTAGTAATGACAGTGTGATTACCTACATAGGAGTGGCTATTGCATTAATATCTCTTGTGCTAGCGTATAAGTCGCATGAGAGGGAAGAGAAAGCATTGGAACCTGAGTACGTACCACAAACTGTGACAATAGTGAAATAACCTGATGAGTCTAGAATAGATTCACTTGAATGATACACTAAACATAACATATATTATAACAAAATGAGTAAGGTAAATAAGGACACAGATACAACGGTGAAACCAAAGATGGGCAATGAGATCTACGATGCATTGCTACTTACAGCAGGAGCAGTTGGAATTTCGAAGGCGTCAAAGAAGATACTGAAGGAACCACTGGGTACACCAGAGAATGCAAAAGGAATGATGAAACTATCAGTATCAGTCAGTCTTTCATCTCTACTGATCTCTTATCTGAAACAACATAAGTTCATTCCAGATGATCCAGTCAAAACCTAGGTAGAACTATACAATGGCAAGTGCAGTAGCAGGAGGACTCTTTAGTGCATTCGCATTTGCAGGAGCTGGGTACTTATTCAAAATATTTGACAAGAATGGGTACGCTGAGGAAGCAAAAAGACATAACATGGCTATGGAGACCCTCACAGCAGAAAGAGAGAAGTACCTCGAAGGGGTCACTAATAGGAAAAACAAAATAGCTCAACTGAAGGCGGAACTAGCTGAAGCAGATAGGGATATAAAGTCAACGAATCAGTCATTGGAGCTAGTTAGGAGAATCAATGAGTTAACACGTAAGGCTATACCAAGGAAGCCGCAACTGAGTAATCATTACACACCTAGCTCTGAGGTGGAAGAATATATGGCACTATTTGGTTTACTTGCAGGTGGAGCAATAGGTGGGGCGGCTTACCTGTTACTCTAGACTTAAACATTATTTTATATTATAATAGTATATAGGATGGAGTGGTTATGTGAGGAAACACCTAAGGAGATAGTAATGGTAGGAAGAAGAACAAACACAATGGAAGAACTAGAGGCAGCTGTGAGGAAGTACGTGATAAGGAGAATAACAAGAAGAAGAAACATATATGATCCAATAAGTAGTGAGTGTGGAAGTAAGTCTATTGTGATGATAGATGGGGCAGATATATGTACAATGTGCGGCACCTGTGAGATGAACAACTTTATGTACTACACTAGTTACAACTACAACAAGGACGACTATTTTAAGAAGAATCCTCACACAAAAGGGTCCGTTGGTTTGAGAGATACTTGTTTAGACATGTTGCAGCCAGGGATAGGGATAAGATACGGGAGCAGTTTAAAATCATCGTTAGATGTATACAGAGACTTAGACTACAAAAGGGGCGCAACATTGTTAGATATAAGTTTTACCTGCTTAGGTTGGCCAGTATGAACGGCATTAAGTTGAGAGACCCTCCTGAGGACATTAAGACAGAAAAGATAGTGAACATACTTGAGAATAGGTTATACGGGAAGGTATTTGTTGAACTTAGATGGAAACCTGAAGGATGCCCTTACTATAACAATTGGAAGAACCGTGAGAGTTGAGCCGCAAAGGTCACCGCAAAGGTTACCGCGTTATTTTAACACAAGCCTAGTCATTGACTGAGCTTTTTTAAGCAATCACCGCAGATTACCGCAAATCACCGCAACTCATAGGGAGACAAAAAATGTCAGAAATGACAAAAGTTATAAAAACGTAAAAACTGGAAATTTCTCATCTGACTCCCACAGAATGTGAAAACGCTTGTGAACACCTCAACGAACAATGATATCGTTTCAAATTCCAACTTTATCAGATTGATCCCACACGACAGAAAAACGATGTCGAATACGCAAGACGTACTCACATATTTAAGGTATAGAGCTCATCCGAGGTCGCCCCTAAAAAATCAAGTTGACTTAAAGAAAAAATTATATGTATAGGTATACAAAATATGACAAGTGCGTTTACAGGAAAAAATAATTTCTCAACTAATAGTATAGGGAAGAGTATAACAATGGAGTCAACCAAAACAAGTGCGTTTACAGGAAAAAATAATTTCTCAACTAAGAGTATAGGGAAAAGAAAAATGTCAAAGTCAGCGCAAATGGAGAAAGAACAACATGAGAAAATCAGAGAGCAATTCTTGAGGGACCTCTTCACAGAAGACAATTCGGAACACGGATTTAACATCTTTGAGGAAGAGGAACCTAAAACAAAAAGGTATAGTTCAGAGGTTAAAATCCAGATGGGTGGACACAAGGCGATCAATGTGAAGGAACCAAAAAAGAACAGGTCGGAGGTCAAAATCCAGATGAGCAAACCTGTGGGACCAAAAAGATTCAGATCTGAGGTTAAGATCCAGTTAAAGAAACCTAAGCCAGCCAGACCTATAAGGAAAGCAACGGATATACCTAACGGTGTAAGTCCATGGAAACCAAGAACTGCCCCACCTAAAGCCAGACCAATGCCGTTACCAAGGAAGAAACTTCGGGATGTAAAACCAACTCCACCACCAAGGATACGAAAGCCAGTGAAACAGTAAAAGGAAGTCGAAGATCAACCCCAAGTGATCACTCCTGAGGAACATGAGATTGATCCAGCCTAGACCTAGGCCATCTATTTTTATTGATATTTTTTTAATATTCAGCGCTTTTTCACATGAAAAGACTGGGACTAGGTGATTTGGGGGCGGGGCGGAGGAAGGATACAAGCCTGACGCAAGCGAAAAAATAGAAGGCCTAGTGGATTTCCCAACAACAAGGCCAAAACTGCCCTGAAACTGCCCTGATTGCGAAATGCCCAATTGTTGCGTTCTCAAACAGAATTATTTGCGACTTAACAGCGAATTTAACTCTTTCTCAACAGGCCCTATTCGCATCGATTGGGATCGATCGACGGCTAGAAAATTTCATACCTTCGGTTCAGTGCATGCTATGAAGACAGAAATACCACCATTCGATTCAGAAATAAAATATCAACAAGTTCCAAACGATAGTTATAGTCATTATTAGTATTGTAACGATTTATGGGCCTTTGAAAGTCAAAACAATCATATTGTATCAAATTACGCAATTGTCTGAACAAAAATATAGACTAGCCATACCTTTCGCCGAAAATAACTTCGGCCCCATCGAACATATCGTCTTTGTAATAGTCTTGTTCGAATCCCCGTCAAAAACACTATTTAGAGTGTTATTTGCAAGCCTGTATCTTGAAATCTTTATCTTTTATCAACATATTTCCATTTCTTGTCCGACTGTGAGCTCGAAGTGAGTTAATCCCAACCGGAAATACGACTGAAAACCGTCAAAACAATGCGAAGCTTGTATCATATGACCCTGGAAAGGCCAGAAATGGATTCGCAAGGTCAAATTGCACCTACACGCGTGAGTTTGACGTCATCCCGGCCACAGGAGCTTCTTATTGGCCAATTATTGCGCAATGTACGCAAGTGCGAGTAAAAACCCGACATCTTGAAAAATTCAAAATAAATATTTCTACATTCCGTATTCAAACGAAATTTTGTACACGAAAGCGCTTGAATACAGAGAGTATTTTACACATATAGCCGTTCAGCAAATGACGAAAAGTTCAAGAGATATTCAAGATTTGGTGGATATAAAATTTAGAATCTTTGGCCAAGCGGTGAGTAAATATATCATTGTTTCGGTTTGTGTAATGTTTTGACGGCACTTGACCCCCCGTTCGAAAGGTTATATTGTGAGGATTTCAATGGTGGCATTTATTTAAAAGTGGGGTAAATACTCGCCGAGATCATCGCCAACTATTGCGGTCTTATGTCAATCCTACTATCCAGCGGAAGTTCCCTGAAATGCATAACGCGCAATAACGCGCAATGTTTTGGAATGACCAAATGGAAATAAATGAGCCAATTCTATTAGAAACACATAAGTGTTTCCCCCACTGGATAGAACTTCTAATTTCGACGCTCGAACAGTCGTTATTGTCAAAATAAATGGTTTTAAGCACGAAAAACATTACAATATTTCGTCTAGATTGAAGTTATTTAATACGGTTGACCTTTGGTTGACCTTTTAGTCTGGCTGTAGCCAAACGGCCCAACTTCTACCGCTGGCAGCACGGGTTGTGTTTCATGTATCCCAGAAGCGTTTGCAGGGTTGAAAAATAAACATCGTGGCGATCAATTTGGTACCAAATACAACCTACTCCGAGTGATTTTTCGCCTTCAATTTAGCTTTTAATCGCAGTGAAATTTGCGGCAATGCGATCACATACTAACAGCGCATAATATTCTAAGTGTCTACGAAAATTCATGATATTTGATGGTAAATACGAAAAACTTCTCCAGTGTTTTATGGGCCCAATTTTTGTGAGCAGCTAGCGAGGATCCTCAAGGTTGGTGTTCCATTTGAGCAAATTACATAGCAGTCACAGAAATTTAAAAATTGAACAATGAAACTCGGTAATCGAGCGGATTTTGGCCGAGTTAGTATACAAGTCTATAGAAGCAAAGCGTTCAGAAGTTGAATCTCGAAACGAAACGTAAGATAAAGGTTTAACTATTATTTTTTTCGACAGTGCCGTTTGTATGCAATGTAGGAATACTACTCCATTTGAGCAAATGAAATAATCGAAATATCTTTTTGTCAATTCGATGTTTTTAGTTTGATTCCTATGTATTTTATAGATTCTCTGCCTAAAATATATTGACTTTTACGGGGGTATCCGCTGGCGCACTGCCGACTCAATGTCCGAAATAGTTGGCGATGTATTTATATTAGAAAAATTGAATCGAAATGTATTAAACCGATACAGGTAAAATAAACTCATTTATAGTATAACTTACTATTTTTATTTGTATACACGTCTAGAAAATCGGGGTATTTATCATAAAGTTTGAAGCAACACTATTATTATGTAGACAAGGTGAAGCGAAAGCACAAAATAATTCTTCTTTTATTCGCAAGACGATCTACTGTTTTGCTTTGAATAACTATATTTGCGAATTGGGAATGAGGAATTTGAAATTATTGTTCAAATATTACGGATATACCATTTGTAAACAATGTACTTTTTATATACAGTACTGTACGGGCTAATAATATATGTATCCGTTTTATTTAATAAATTATAATTGTATATGTGTTTGTATATTTTACAAACACAAGACTGCTTCTTGCCAAAATTGAGAAAATATATATTAATGTAGTTGTGTATAAGACAAAATTTCATGAAAGATTCTACTTTTGGTATATATTTTGACTCATTTTGTGCTTTCGCTACACCTTGTCAACATGTTAAATAATAGTGTTGCTTCGAACTTTATGATAAAAAACCCGATTTTCTAGACGTGTATACAAATAAAAATAGTAAGCTTATACTATAAATGAGTTTATTTAACCTGTATCGGTTTAAATTCGCCGTTAAGTTGCAAATAATTCTGTTTGAGAACGCAATAATTGGGCATTTCGCAACCAGGGCAGTTTCAGGGCAGTTTTGGCCTTGTTGTTGTGAAATCCACTAGGCCTTCTAGGCTTGCTTCCTCCGCCCCGCCCCCAAATCACCTAGTCCTAGTCTTTTCATGTGAAAAATCGCTGAATATGAAAAAAATATAAATAAGACTAGAAGGCCTAGGTCTAGGCTGAGATTGATCCATTTGGTACCGACCTCCATATGCCCGGTCATAGGAAAATCGAGACGGCAGCCAATGGTGCAGTTGTAACGTACTCATTAACTCCTTCTTATATGGATCCACTAGATCAGATGACAGCAAGTAGACAGGTAGTGAGAAGTATACTTGTTAACGAGTTGAAGAGAATGGGTGGTTTGAAGTACACAGAGACCATCAAGGTGAGAATGTCGAAGGAAGTCGGTGACGGGAAAACCAAGAAGGACTCGGTCTACTTCAAGTCTAAGACGGGTGCTGTGACGAATTTCGAAGATATTGAAAATACAGCTGCCAACAACCAACTTACCATTCTCTCTAGAATTGAAACGTTTTAGAACCTAGGTAGTAACTGGATAATACTAAACATTGAGAGTCACTATGTGAATATTGCTATGTACAAACCATTAGCCGGGAGCTCATATATGAAACTCCCAGAGGACATTAGTAATTCGAGATGTGGACTGATAAACATGAGGAACGATGATGATATGTGCTTTGTGTGGTGCCATGAGAGACACCTTAGACCTAAAGACAGGAGGGCAACTACTATCACACACAAGGACAGGGAATTCGAGTCAAGCTTCGATCATGAGGGTATTGAGTTCCCTGTGAAGATAAGCGATATTGATAAAATAGAAAGGAGAAATAACATTAATATATCAGTGTTCGGTTATAAGGGAAGAAAACAGTTCTACCCAATACGTATATCAAAATGCGAATACAATGATCACATGGAACTACTACTACTGGGTAATTCTGAGGGAGACCTGCACTATGTGCTGATAAGCGATGTGAACAGAATGTTGTGTGGTGTGACTAAGAACAAGAACAAGGCGCACTTCTGTTTACACTGTCTGCACAACTGTGTGAGTGAAGAGGCACTCGAAAAACATAGGGAGACATGTCTGCAGGTAAATGGAGTTCAGACAACTAAGTTTCCAAAGGAAGGAACCAAAATAAAGTTCAAAAATCATAGGAACTCAATGCCTGTGCCCTTTGTAATATATGCTGACTTCGAGTCAATACTGGTTCCTGAGGAGAAAAATGACAAATCAGAGAACAGTGAGGATGAAAGCCGCACTAACCGTTACCAGACTCACCAAGCGTGTAGCTTCGGTCTCAAAACAGTGTGCCACTATGATGATAAGTACTCCGGTGAATACAAGAGTTACGTTGGTAAAGCTGCTAACGTCTTCCTCAAGACTGTACTGAGAGAGGCAGCTAGATGTAGACAGCAAGTTAACAACATATTCAAAAAGAAGATGGAAATCACACCGAAACAGGAAGGGGAATTCCAAGTGGCAAAGGATTGTTCCATATGTGGTGGGGAACTAGGTGAGGACAGAGTAAGAGACCATTGTCATGTGACTGGAAAGTACCGTGGAGCGGCTCACAATATATGCAACCTGAAGTATAGAATTACATGGAAAGTACCGGTGGTTTTCCACAACCTGAGAGGTTATGATAGCCATCTGATCATGCCGGAAATAGGTGAGTTCAAGATGAAAGTCAACGTGATTCCAAATAGTATGGAAAAATATATATCATTCTCACTGGGTAAAAATCTTGTCTTCATAGACTCTATACAGTTCATGGCTTCTTCGCTGGAAGACCTTTGTTAGCAACCTTTCACCAGAGGACTTCAGGATAGTAGGCAAGAGGTGGAAGGGAGAGGACTTCAATCTGGTGACACAAAAAGGAGTGTTCCCCTACGAGTTCCTAGACGACATTAGCAAACTCAGTACAAAAGGTCTTCCGAGCAAAGACAAGTTCTACTCCTCACTGTATGAGTCTGAGGTAAAGTATAAAGATTACCAAAGAGCTCAAAGGGTGTGGAAACACTTTGGAATGAAAACCATGAGGGATTACCATGACCTCTACTTGGATACGGATGTTATACTGTTGGCAGATGTTTTTGAGAACTTTAGAAGAACTTGCCTGGAAAACTACAAGCTTGACCCTGCACATTACGTGTCAGCGCCCAGTCTTAGTTGGGACGCTTTCCTGAAAACGTTAGGTGAACACATGGAACTTGTAAGTGATATGAACATCTTCCAGTTCTTTGAGAAGGGAGTGAGAGGTAGCACAAGTTACATTGCTCACAGAAGCTCCACAGCTAATAATAAATACACGGAGACCTATGACGAGACATCTGAGAACAAGTACCTAATGTACCTCAATGCAAACAATTTATATGACTGGGCGATGTCACAACCGCTACCTAATGGAGAGTTCGAGTGGGTTGAGGACCTCGAAAATATAAGGCTAGACGACTACCTGAAAGACGACGGTGGAGGGATGGTTTTGGAGGTTGACATGGAATATCCGTCAGAACTTCACGATCTACATAACGGTTATCCTCTAGCTCCGGAGAGCAAGGAAATAGACTCCTCCATGTTGTCAGACTACGCAAAGAATATTGCTGAGAAATTTCAGTTGACGGTTGGTGGTGTGAGAAAACTGATTACTTCATTTGGTCCCAGGAAGAAATACGTGTTACATGTACGCAATCTGAAACTGTACACTGACCTTGGAATGAAATTGACTAGGGTTCATAGAGCGGTTACTTTCAAACAGTCCTGCTGGCTCAAGGACTACATAGACTTCAACACAAAGACGCGTTCAACTGCCAAAAATACATTCGAGAAGAATTTCTTCAAACTGATGAATAATTCAATATATGGCAATGGAAAATCTTAGGAAGCGTGTTGATGTCAAGCTAGTGTCATCGGAAGAGGACCTACTGAAAATGACAACTTCACCATGTTTCCAATCTCACAGGATCATGAATGAGAATCTTATAGTTGTAAAAAGAATGAAGGAAGTGCTAACACTAAATAAGCCGTGCTATGTAGGAATGAGCATCTTAGACTTATCCTAAGCACTCATATATGATTTCCATTACAACACCATACGGAATACGGTGATAAGTCAAGGCTTCTGTTCACAGACACTGACAGTCTTATGTACGAACTGAAGACTGATGACATTTATGAGGATCGGATTACTCAGACCATAATAAGAAGGTTATAGGTAAGTTTAAGGATGAATCTGGAGGTGTGTCTATAATTGAGTTTGTTGGGCTGAGATCGAAGATGTACTCATATGTCAAGGAAAACGGCAAATGTGGAATGACGGCTAAGGGGGTTAAAAAGTATGTCATTAGAAATAAGCTCACTCATGAGAACTTCAAGTATGTAATCGGCACTAAGGGGAGGATGAGACATAATATGAACACAATCAGGAGCACCAAACATACAATTGGAACTTACGAAATGAGAATGGTCACTCTGAGTCACAAGTTATGCTTACCGCAACTGGAGAATAGCAAATAAAGATGTTGAAGTTGTCATCCAAGAGGAAGTAAAGCCTGATGTGTGTATACACAGGGTGGTAGTTGAAGATGAATGTGTAACTGTTCAAAAGCCTATAATGATTGAAAAAAGACCTTCAGCACTAATTGTCTTCCAAGAGGAAATAGTTGAGTTGAAATCACCACAGATAGAAAAATAGAACCGTATAATATGTTCCTGCTGAAGGTAATAGCTTTTAGAAAAGCAGAGAGGAAACTCGACAGCTCAGACAGAATGGCTCAGCTAATGGACTTCGGGTGGGACATAGAAAAGCTCTCAAAGTACATGGTAGAGTGTGATGAGAAGGTTCTATGTGAATACACTGAGGATGAGCTGGAGGAGTACAAAAACAGGTTACATGTAGAGGATATGGAAGAGGATAAGATTGAGGAGAAAATAAGTCGTGAAATCTACACAAGCAAGGAGAAGTTGATAAGAAACTATGAGGTATATCTTGGAATCAGAGAGGAGTCTGTGGAGAGACCAGTCAGAGTATACAAAAGATGGCTAACTGATGTGAGAGGCCATAGCGATGAGGAGGCAGATGAAATGGCAGAAAGGGAGTTCAGCGGTCAACCACCAAAAATAGAACACCAAAGTACAAAGCCTGAGGAAGAGCCTGAACCTGAAAGTGAGCAGGAGGAAGACGAGAATGACAGATTCATAAGAAGACGTTGGAATCCCAGTGAAAGATACAGAAGTAAAAATAAGGACAGTAGCAGAAGACACCGAAAGAGCAGGCAAACTAAGAGAGATCGATCAAAGAACAGACATAGTAGAAGACCAGCGAAGTAGAAAATAAAATGTGAAACTTAAGCTTTACACAAGAGCTACGTGACCGCTAAAGCGATTCCATAGCTCCACAGTATAGTTTAACGAAAAACGCCTCAGATCAACTCCACAGAGCAAGATTCAGTAGACTTTTCACAAAAAAAATTGGTTCAACAAATTAGGCACGGGAGTGAGGTTATGGGATCACTTTGCCCCGTTTTCAACGGAGCTAAGTGGTCCCGTAACCTCATTCCCTATACTTCTCTCGTCCATCTCACTTTCGTCGGATGTCGAGACTTTAATATTGGGCAAGACCGAAGGTCGAGCCTAATATTGAAGTCGACTCTAATATTGAAGTCCATCGGGAGGACATCTACAACCTTTGTCACTCTTTCCTGGCTCCATGTAACTTTATTAAGATGTTTGAATCATCTTGCCAATTTCTAAAAATGAATGCAGATAATATTAGCAACATTCAAGTTTTTACCCATCATCGGGAGCTTATTGCATGGTATATACAGCTAATTCAAAAAGGTTGTCCTTCGAAAATCTCATACCTCAAACGCTAAGCGCGCAATGAGTTGGGTAACTTCTTTTTAGGGCTTTTAATTGCGCAAATAATCCTAGTACACTGTTGGTTGTACATTATAGTGCTTATTATCTATCTTGCCATAGTTACAATGCAAATCCGCACGTCTTAGGCCTTAAGTAAGAAGTTATCCATCACACCTTGCGCGCTTAGAATTTAAGGTTTAATTTGACATTGTCGAAGGCAACCTTTTTTGAATTAGTTGTATAAAAATTATAGATAAAATGCAAGATTTTCTTACTTTAATCTGGCTAACGGGACAATTCAACGTTCTTAATTAAATTGCTCTCATAAACAAATACACACTCAAAATAATTAAAGACGCTAATAAAAAGGCGTTGGCTGTTATGCTGCTGGTCTTGCAATTTTGTTGCGACACAAGTTCCTTGCAAGGCGTAACATTCCTCGTTCATCAAGTTTCGCAACATTATTGTACCTGCACGAAGCGTTTCGCCAGACAAGGTAGAATCAGATTCTACTTATTGTAACGATTCCGGCATCTCGCAATGGTTATATTGACCAGAAATAAAAACTCCCTTGAAGTTTGTAATGTTACTCTGAATGTATATCCACACCGGGCGAGCTTGAAAAATATGCCCGGCCACGGTTGGAATCGAACGTACGACCTTTGGAATACTAGCCCAATGCTCTGCCAACTGAGCTACGCGGTCAGGTCGGTTCGAGTAAGAGATATTTCGGAACAGAATCGAGTTCCTTCGATACCAATGTAATCTAGTAATATGATTTTTTTTCTGTGTTGGTGTTGTGTACTCAGGTGAATATGATGTTTGTGATGTTACTCTGAGTGTATATCCACACTGGGCGAGCTTGGAAAATATGCCCAGCCACGTTTGGAATCGAACCTACGACCTTTGGAATAATACCTCAATGCTCTGCCAACTGAGCTACGCGGTCAGGTCGGTTCGAGTAGGTGATATTTCGGAACAGAATCTAGTCCCTTCGATAACAATGTAATCTAGTAATATGTTTTTTTTTTAGTTTCTGTATTGGTGTTGTGCACTCAGGTGAGTATGATGTTTGTGATGTTACTCTGAGTGTAAAAAAAAATCAAATCACTAGATTACATTGCATGGTATCGAAGGAACTAGACTCTGTTCCGAAATAGATCATTTACTCGAACAGACCTGACCGCGTAGCTCAGTTGGCAGAGCATTGGGCTAGTATTCCAAAGGTCGTAGGTTCGATTCCAACCGTGGCCGGGCATAATTTTCAAGCTCGCCCGGTGTGGATATACACTCAGAGTAACATCACAAACATCATATTCACCTGATCATGAGTACACAACACTAACACAGAAAAAAACCCCCAAAAAACTCCCTTGTTACCTACTGTACATTGCTCATGATTGCAACTTGCAAGACAAGTGTTATTTGTTGGCTAGTCAATAAAACCATTGCGAGACAAGTTGCATGAGGGGTGTTACATTTAACAATTATTGAATGAGGTTGAACACATAAATGAAGAATTATCAAGCCCGAAGTTTGACGTTATCAACCGAAGCCGAAGGCTGAGGTTGATAACGGCAAACTGAGGGCTTGATAATTCTTCATATTGTGTGAAAACCGAATTCAATAATTGTTTTATTATTTATTTAAAAATTCAAAACAAACGGTCATCCATTTGTTCGCCCGCGTTAATAATCAGCCAAACAAGAATGAGGAAAAGTGTTCTTACCTATTCTAGAAGCTTTTGTTTATCTTTTTGTATTTAACGAATCTTTATCTTCCAGTAATTTTTGAATTTCGGCTTCGCCAAGGTTGGCGAACGTTTCAGTGGAAGAAACCATTTGTATTTTACTTGTATTAAAAAAAAACAATTCTTTAGTCTTTCTGCAGCCGTCGTCGTCATATCGATGGCGTCAGCAAGTCAATATGATTCTCGTCGTCATAGTAATATGGCGCAAACGCGTCCAAATTTTTTTCATATTGACTCTTTGACGTCATTTTGCTATTATGAATGCGAAAAATCCAGATTTGGTTAGCCATTGAGTTGATATGACAATTTCACAGTTGGCTGATAGCCAATCAGAAACCAGGGATTTTTTAAATAAATAATAATATTGAATGTCGTAATGTTGTTGCAGCGTAGCCAAAATCGTTGCAAAAAGTAGAACGTGTATGCCTCTGCTTCGTGCAACGCTTCATCCAGCAAAAACGTTGCCAGACTTGATGTTTGCGAGGTAATTGCATACTAAACCGTGCTATTTGTTTCGCAATGGATACAGTAGTGCAACAGTTCCTTTACGAGACAAGTTATTTAGTTGCGAGATAAATTGATTAGTGAAATCTATTTCAGACAAAATATAATAAAGGGCGCTGTCACCCTATGCAATTTGTTTCGCAGCTTTTCTTGCAATGACGTAATTTTTAAAACTGTCGTTGCATGACCAGAGATGCTATACTATGCAACTTATCTTGCAATCATGAACGATGCAGGCATTTGGCTTGCCTGATTTGCCAAATGATCGTATTCATCCGCAAACTACGTCACAAAGCAGACTTTTTAAAAAGGTCTACTAACACAATTGCGGGGAGACATTTAAGTTGCGAGACAAATTGCATGCATGGTGTAACAAATTTAAAATGATAAATTCTTGTTGTAAAAACAGGCATTTTAAGTCATTCAGAACCCTATGCATGCAACAATTTGATCATATTTTCTATTGCATGGGGTGATTCTAAGAAGAAATGAAATGTATCTTTATAGTAAAAAACCTCATCTTTATCAACTTTTTCGCAGTCAAGATTTAGGGTTTAAGGTGCCTGTTTTTATCAAGATGGGATTTTTTGTTTTAAAGATATATTACATTTTCTTCTCTTTTTTTTTTCTTCGAATAACCTAAACATTACACAAACCAAAAATGATATTTGGGGTTAGTCGCACTTTAATAAAAGAGTACTGAGAAATTAAGTGAGAGCGTTATAAACTAATAACACACCTCCTCCTACAAGTAGGAACATGCTGCTCATGTTGTTCATTGGCAATTCTCTTTTTCATCGCCTTACACGACTTATGGTATCTCTTGAATGCTTCTAAAAATAAAACGTAAATATCACTGTTTTGTGGTTTGGTCCAGGGTAGACATTAATTCCCTATCAATATCACTAAATATATCATTTTTAGGGGCTGTTCATATGATCCCGCTTACCGGGACATCTTGCTTACCGAGACGAATATTTCCGTGCGTTCATATGGATTATTTCGTCCCGCTTGCCGAGATGAAGTTACAATGTAGTTCTATAATTAGCGTATATGCAGAACGTCTACATTCCAGTCAAGCAACACAAATATATAGCGATTTTAGTGTTTTTCGTCTTTTATTTACAAGAACAAGTATTGCTTTAGGTGCATATTTAATACTTGTTTACAAAACAAACATAAAACTAAGTAAAAAGTGTTAAATTAAACGGCAAGACTTGTTTGACTTCTTCCCCGTAAGCGGGCTGGCGTGTTCATATGGAAAATTTTTCATCCCGCCTACCTATGATCTCGGCAATATAATGTTTCTCATATAAACATAATGCGAAATTTTGTAGGAAAATAACTAGGCGGCGATCGCATTTCTGATTCCCAGGCCCCCAAGCAAATTTAAACACGACAGATATTTTTGCGAAATGGGCAAAATTGCAATGTTTAAGGGTCTATAAACATGGAATTATTGAACTTAATCATATAGAGGGCAAAATTACTCAAATATGATTGGCTAATGCAGAGGAGAACATTTTCTCTTAATTCAGAGCAAAATTACTTGTACCTGATTGACTGAGACGCAAGCGCGAGAAGTTCCATGTATTAAATATAGCAATATAAAAAAAATGGTTTCTCGCTTTGTTGTCGCGGATAATGATGTTATTGAAGCATTAAAAACTTCTAGTGAAAACTTGAACACTAGAAAAAGTACCAATTTATTGGTTGGAGTATTTAAGAAATTGGCAGGCATGCAGGGCAGCATTAAGAAACATCGGCGAAAAGGCGAAGGCATGCATAGAGACATACGAGGTTTAAGAACTAGACAAGATCGCAATTAACTTACGAATAAATTTTGCGACTCGGGCAATTTGTGAAACTTTGAAAACACGCGTGAAATTAAACCTTAATTTTACTCGGCCTCTTGCGATTACCTATACAAATCAAAAAAGGTTCTAGAATTTATGAACTAACTTTTTATGCTCTTTTCAAATCCGTAAAGATCCCACAAGTCAGGCACTTTAAATAACGATGAGATTTTCTTGGTGAGTGAATTTAATCTTATTTTAAGTAAACGGTTATTTATGGCAAGTGAAAATTTACTTGCCTTTTCATTTCAAGTGCCAAAGTTTTCTTATAGTATGTGAATTTATGCTTGTTCTAAGTAAATTATTATTCTTGGTAAGTGGAAAATTACTTGATTTCTCATTTCAAATCCTAAGTTGTT